GCCTGTTTTTGGATGATTGATTAATCTGCCGTATCGAGGTAAACTGATGTCGTGGTGGTCTAACGTTGGAGCTCACATGATGCTGAGAGGCGGGCATGCAATCAGGCGAGGCTCCTGTAAGTGATCGCTGCCGTTTTCACTGAGCATGATGAAGCTTTGTGACTTGTGTGCTTCCTGTAAACCCAATGTTGGCCTGAACCATCTTGGCAGAAGTCTAGCATTTCTTTTTTTTTTTTTTTGAACCTCAAACCCCTGCAAATGGAGTTGCTCTTTTGGGACACACTGGTATATTATGGAAATAGGCCTGGCATATCCATTTAGGATAACTAATAATGTATGCGTACACTTGGGCTCCCCAGTGAAAACAGTTTAGTACTCTACTCATTAGGGTAGCACACAGTTCTAGATTGCAGCCATTTTTTTCTAAGGGTATTTTCACATAAATTGTATGACCTGTGTCTTGGCCTCTCCAACACCCAGTAGAGCCATGAAAGAACTGGTGGTAATTTGCAGCGCTCATTGTAGTTGTTTGAACTCTAAGACTATATGTTTAAATGCAATCTTGTAAAGGAACGTTAAGGGAATTGCATTTTAGTAGAACCCAGACTGAAAGCAATCGGACTGAATAAATCTTCCCGATTTAAGATTTTATGGAATATGGTATAAGGTATGCCTGTCTGAGAATATTCAAACATCCTCCTTTTCCTTTCAAAAGGTCTGTGGATTTTTTTTTCTTCTATTTTTACATACTCTTTGAGATCAAATCAGGACATGTTCTCATCCAATTCTGGCTGGACTTGGAGGAAATGAGCCCCCTACAAAGATGTTCTTGTCATGAGTGATGCAGCATACTTCTAATTTTGGCCCCCTGAGACCAGCAGCTAGCTTTTATTAGATTACAGCCACAGAGCCAATGAGACAGAAGGTGATATATTATGGAGCATGATTGGAAAATTGCTCATGAACTTTGGAGCTCTTTGACCTGGAATAGCTGTGTTCTTTTTGCCAAGCAAAAGGGTCCATTTAGACATTTCTGCAGAAGCCTGATGTTGGCTGAAACATCTGGATAACAGTGAGACTAACTTATTTCTTGAAAATGTCTTGGTGATGTTTTAGAATAAATGCTGCCACTAATACAAGTACAAATTTCTCTTTAACTATTCCAGGTCTTATTGTGCTAGAAGCACAATGTTCAGAGTGTTTTTAATTGGTTTTATTTAAAAGATACAATTGTGAAGTAATAGGAGAAATTATACATAATTTATATGTATAATTTGTATATATATTTTTTTGTTTTTAAACAGAAACCTGTGTTGAAATTAGTTTTTTGCTCAACCCTTTTGAGTCAATACTTTGCAGAACTTCAGTTCACTGGAACTCAGACCCAACACTGAACCAAAGTTGCAACGTTTGTTGCATTTCCGTCTGGTGTGGTTTGCTTTCACTGCACCAAGAGCTACTGAAGAAAACAACATGAAAACCTCTGAAGAAGAGATCTGGCGCTACTTCCTCCTTCATGAAATGCAAACACACATGGAATTACAACAGAGTGTATTGTGAGTAGTTGTCCTGTCTACGGATTTTGCCATATGAGCTGTAGAGCTCTGGTGTTCCTCCAGATTTAATTTAACTGCTCTCCTTACTTGACATTTTAGTTTAGGTGGACGACAAATCAGTATCCATATGACAAGTTTGTCATATGTTGCATTAAATTCCTACGCAACTTTCTCTCTGACCTGTCCTTCATTTTCACGATGCTGTTTTCTTTAGCAAACATCTAGCAAACATCTGAGGTCTTTTTGGCAAAATCTCCGTGATTAATTGACACCCAGGTGAACTGTATTTACCAATTAAGGGACTTTTGACAACTAACAGTTGGGTGTCCTTGATGTTTTTAAGGGGTCTCAGAGTAAAGGGGGATGACTACAAACACATAATACAATTCAGGATTATGCACCAAGTTGTATTGGTTGTGTGTAAATCCTAATTTATTGGGATTTTATTAAATAAAAAATAAATAATAATTTAATATATTCAGATTTTATTAAATAAAATCCCAATAAATTAGATTTTTTTTAAAAACTGCCTCTAATGTGAATCAATTAAACGTTAACCTAATATGAATAGATTTGAAAAGCCTGGGATAAAAAAAAGTGATAATAATATTTGTTTGTGCCATTTTCCTTATCAGCTAAAATATGACGTTTTACATTTCCAGGGAAGTTGAATGCTACTATTTATATAAAAAATACATCTGGGAGTATCTTTGAGAATCTTTTGTTTTTGTTTTTATTTTTGAGCTTCTTTCTCAGTTGTGGTGTTATGACTGCAAGGAGTTTGTGGAGTTGCTTCCCAGAGGTGACATACATCATCAGGCCCATTAGTGTCAGTGATGAGCCATCTATTCCATCAGCAGACTGGGCCAGTAATCTTTCATCTTGCTCTATTTCTGACAGCCATTTCTGGCGCTAATCAGAGCCAGAAAAAATATTATTTATTGTGCACAAATCAACAAGGAGTGATTACATTCAAGGAATTTCCTAGAATAATTTTATTCTGCTCAGTAATACAAACAGCTTTTGTTTTGCAAAGCAGCTCTCCATGTCAGCAGGGGCAGGGGAGTCTGTCTTTTGACAACAAATCAATATATCTACCCATATTAGAGGGGCTAACGCTCACCACGCTGGATGAAAGCTTTTACAAAGCTTTTTGTGGAGAAAGGAGATGATGCCTAACCAGCCCAGGGAGAATGGAATCACTCAGGACAATGGTTCAATTGAGGATCATTGAGGTGGGGGCAATGGGGGGAGTCCCTGCCTGTGTGACTGTTGGCCTGGGCATCTCACGGGTGTCCACTGGCCTGGAGACCTCATAACAGAGGCTTTTTTCCCTCCAGGCCTGAATGTGGCCTCATTCAGCGAACAGGACTCCAGAATACTGCACCCAGTGCCAGTCCCACACAAAAACATAGATGCTCACACAACACATTTGTGTTCTGCAGCTCTAATCATGACCCACTGATTCGTCTTAAAGGGTAGACTGACATTTTTGTGTAACTAATTTAAAAGGTCTTCTTTGAAGGGCATGTGACATGCGATTCTTTTACATAATCTCCTTTTCAGTTGTGGTCAGGCTGGCAACTTACAATAGTTATATTCATTTCTGTCTCACTTTGAGAAGAACTGAGACATATTTTGCCAAAGAGAGGACATTACTTTGGGAACACTAAGGCCACAATGGAAAATGTTTGGTTGATGTTGTTTAAATAAAATTAGGATTTTAGCTAAGCAGCAGCACTTTAACCTCTTTAAAGACAAAAACTTTGTACTTTTAATTAATCTTATACTTCTGAAAATTATTTAGGCGCGGGGTTCCCAACTCAGAAATATGTCCTCTTCCCCTGTTTGCTTTCACTCAGGAAACAAAAAGAGAAAACAATTGGATTTAAATTCTGCGGCAGAAATTTCAGAAAAAAAACTATTTCTAGTTGGTTTGACAGGATTTCTGTTCAATGGAGTGAGCAAAAGTGCCCACTCCATTCTTATATTTGTTGTATAACAATGGTTCATCAAACACTATTGAGCCAGATGATGTGATCCTTTTATTGAAATGTGGCTTCAAGGTGCCAAAGGTGCTTTTAAAATGATTTGCTAAACAATAAAAAGGAAAATTGTGCTTTATTTATGTTTCATATGTTGAGTTTTGATGACTTGCATGGTTTTAACACAATATTTTCTATTCTAAAGAGAAAAATGGTTTTATCAGAGGATGTAACTAGACCTGTCAAGATGACAAACTTTACTGGACAATAAATTGACCCCAGAAGTTATTGCGATGAACGATAATATTGTTGCTTTGAGACAATATAACGGTCAAGGTATAATAACGCAAGAACACATTCTCAAATGTTAAAGAACATTTAACACTGGAACAGAAAGACATTTTAAATATGTAAAATAAACAACAGAAAAACATCAATCAAGTGAATTATGATCTCTGTAGACAGGATTGTTAAGACCAAAACACCAGTTTGAAGACTTTTATCATCCATTTTTTGTTAGAAAGAGAGAAACGATAAATCATGCAAGTGAAAATTATTGAACTTGTTTTAATTTGTCATGCGATTAATTGATTTATTGTTTATTGTGACTGGCCTAATTGTAACTAAATATAAATTCAATGAGGCAGTATACCATTTTCAATTCATATTTTGTCTTTTTGTTATTTTAACTTTTTATAGGTTGAATGGTTAAAGTGAATAAATAATCAGCATTGCATTGATATTCTCGTGTTGTCTGTGCATTTACTGGAGAGTGAAGGAGAGAACTTAGCTTCAGCAGCTATGTTTTTGTTTTTTTTATCATGCCTCCCTCAGCTCTTGTTGCACACAGCTCCATCGGTCGATGGATCAGTAGACCGCCCACTCTCTACATGCTGAGCACCGCCTCATTTTGGCTTCCCGCCCAGTTCGTTTCCAACATCCCCATCTCGTATTTGGCTTTTCTTTGTAGTCGGTGGAAAAAAAAACAAAGCAAAATAAACGAACAGGGCTGCCACACTGAAACAATAAGACGGTGGGACTGGCTTGGTCACTCTGTCCGTCTTCACAAAGCAACGCCCGGCTCAATACAATCAAACAAAGTATATTGACCCTGATTTTCAAAGTGTAATTTGGATCGTGTGCGGCTCAGCCGGTGGCTCTGTGCAGCTCTAAAAGCAGAGGGCTGCTGTTTTCTGTTCTCCCTTGAGACGGATCCTTCTCCTGTATTGATTAGAGTGCAGACTAAAGCGTAATGAGAACAAGGCAACGCAAGACCCTAAACTCTCCGGTAGATTTAAAACTGCTCTCTCAAATTCAAAGATTGACACATTTTACAACCATTTGTGCAAGGACTGATAAATTTGCTCTTCATTTCACAGCATGTCGAGTTCTGTTAAAAAAAAAACAAAAAAAACAGCCGTGTAAATAATCAATCACTCCAATTTCTGTCTGTCTGCAGAGACCAGATTACACCATATGCCTAGGTCTGTTGGAGCAGATGTCACTGGCTCGATGGCTCCTGTGAGCGGAGAACGGAAGTCATCGGCGCCTGTCCACTCCAGCCAGCCGGTGCTCTTCACCTTCGATGTGCCCATGCGCCACTCGCACCACGGCTCCCTGTCCAACAGCGCTCCTCAGGACTACCTCCTCCTCCACCAGTGCATGAGCAGGAAGACAGAGAGTGCACGGTAAATGTCCTGATCCTCAGACGTCCTGTGTCAGTTTCCTGTTTTCCGTTGATGCAGGTCAACATGCAGGTTTGTGGCTCTTCCTTTGCTCAGAAGCCCCCGAGGGTTAAAACTACTGCTGCAGAGGAAGAGTTAGCCAGCTGCGCGTGAGAACTCAACATGAAGAGATAGCAGATCTCTTCATGTTTCTAAAAATAGTCAGTGTTGTAAGACGGAGGGGAAGCAAACTTGTGGTTATATTCTAATATGTGCACAGATTACAGTTCTTAATAAAAGAACAAAAAAGATTTAATAGAAATTTGTATTTCTCAGGGCAGTTATATTTCTAGATTGAATTTTCCTTCTTTTAAAATGTTATAATCAGAAAAAAATATATAGGAGGCGTGAGAAATGGGAAACTTAAATGTTTGATGTATATTTCCATTCAGCCCCATTTACTCTGATATCCCAAAATAAAACTCACTGCAACCAGTTGTTTTCAGCCGCAAACTTTCACACCTCATGTGGGAGAATATGTTCAGTGAATATCTGGTCTTCAAATCTGACACATAGTAAAGGATGGTGTTGACAGCATTACAACTCCACTCAACAGAGGAGTATATTATGTTGGCTAGTCAAAGACATCAGCCACCTTTACAATCCAAAGAGACATTTTTGGCTTTTTTTCCCCCCTACAAAATAACATTTATCTTCTTATTTAAAGAACAATTAATATTTACAATTTATTATTTTAAGAAATATCAAATCTTGTCATAAAATTAATGCCATAACATTAATTATTATTTCATCATATCTTATTTTGAAGTTTATTATAAGAGTTCAACCAACCCCTAATAAAACAGACTGAGTTTTGTGTGTGTGGCATAAAAATGTGGAATAGTTTTTGGCATGTGTTCACAAGAGACTGCAGGTACGGATTGCCAGCTACGCTTAGAGCCTGAGAACAAAGGAAACAAATGTTTATATGAAATCGCTTCTGAGTTTTGCATTAAGAGTTTCCTCATCTCCTGCCATTCTGCCTGTTTTTGAGGCAGCCTAATCACGAATGCCATTCAGCAGAAAATCTGTGCGGCACATGATCAATGAGTTCGAGGCGGCAATTCATCTTTTCTGTACATTTTAGGCTCACGCAGGGTAGAACCGTGCTCTCAGCTGCACGATTTGCATGCAAATTTGCTGCGCTGGGACTTTATGAAACTCAGAAAATCTAACTTCACATTCCATCTCTTCAGCTGGAGGAACATATTTTTTGTCAGAAGGTTTTGCATCAAGAGGCTGCTAATTAAGAGAAGCATCTGGTGGCAGGGTGTGATTCATGTCAGAATGAAAATCCCAAGGTCTCATGAACATCCATCCGTTATCTATACCTGCTTAATCAGGTTCGCATGGGGCCTGATGTCTCTATCTGCTGCAGTCAACACATATAAGATTACGGGACTCTCATGCCAGGAGCAATCAATTAAAGATTTTAGTATGAAAAAGAACTGTAACTATAAAGGCCAGCTAAAATAGAACTACAGCTCAAAGGTTTGTATATTGCATTTAGCTCAACTTAAGGTCAAGCCGTGCTAACGAGACGCAGTAAGTGAGGCGTATCCCCAGAGTGTCGATCTGAGACTAAAAATCTCTGGGAAACATGTAGCATTTGCGCTTCTCTTTCCTAGTGATGTAAAAAATGTGGTTGAAAAAGAAAACAAATAAAAATAATAATTCTTGTATGAAGTTTGTTGAGCTAAATGCATTCCAGTCCAAAATTATTCATATCTTTGCACCGTAGAAAATTTTTCAAAAAATCAGTAAAATGTATGGTAAAAGTTACAGACCGTAAAATGTAAATGGTTTCTACAGTAGAAAATGTTTCCATGACTCAAGAAACAATTTTTAAGTAATTTTTACTTTTATGTTTATAGAAAACATTGTAATTTATTGTAAAAATTTTAAGAAATTGTAAAATGCATAGGGAAAAAAAAACTATAATGTTGCCGGCAGATGAATAATCCTAAAATTAATGGTACTAATCAGCCAAAATTACAGATTTTGCTAATGTTTATAAATGGGGTAAAACTGCAAAAATCATTTCTAAGGCAAATTTTGATTTTATTTCATCCAATCAAGAAGTTTTTCTGAGAGTAAATGAGACGGGATATTAAAACAATGCATCATATGCTTTTGTTTCGAGTTTATTTTGAAAAATGTGACGTTGAAAGCAAATTCTACATTTGTCTTTTCACAGTGGAAAACAGTTTTCTGCCACTACATCAATCAAATCATTTTAATGGTTGTGAACAGCTCAGTCTTAAACCTCAATCTAGCAGGGGTACAAATAGCTTTGGCTGCATGTGTGTGAAACTCTGTCAGGCTTGTTTTCAGTGAAGCGCTTTGCTGCCATCTGCTGGCCTTTTGTGTTACTACACTTAATCTTGAAAACATATTGTAGAGGTGCACAGTATTTAAAATCATAATATCATTGTCTGCGTTATCAAAGTTACAAAATAAAGCTTTTATGTTCTATATTTCTGGAGCGATTATACTTTTGCCATGCATTCATGTGCCGATATAGATTTTGGTTACCAAGCTGAAATTATAGAAAGGAGTGCAGAATGTGTATTAAATGCAGTTATTGTTGTCATAGCAACTTTCAACAATGACATTGCACCATCATAGTTTTGCTGATATTGTGCAGCCCTGTATAGTATGCTTTCTTTTTTTTATTATTATTAAACTGAGATGTGTTTGAGGATATATTCAAGCACAGTGAAAACTGACTGAGTACATATATATATTTATTTGTATATATTTGTGTTGCAGGAGTGCCAGTTTCTCTCAATCCACACGAAGCAATACATTTCTGGGGAGCGACTCTCCGGTGCAGAAATTTTCTTACGGCTTCTCAAACTGTCTTAACGGCACAGGAGCTCAGCTGCACGGCTTCTATAGCCTTCCCAAACCAGGAAAGCATCAGCTGTCGGTGCACAATGATTCGTCACAGGAGGCCTGCTACGTTCTTCCGCGGGGTTACAGTTCTGAGGCCCCACCTCACAGCAGCCTCGGCGACCCTGACTTTGAGAACGAGGAGGTGTATACCTTCAAAACTCCCTGCAACACCCTCGCCACCATGCACAGCAACGAGCGCTCGCCAGACAATTATGACTTTCCCACCACGCCCGGCTCCTTTTATCAGATCCCACGGACATTTGACAAGAACCACAACTCCCTGACACCATCCAGCTCTGAATCCTCCTGCGCTCCTCCACCTAGGCCCCCTAAACCTAACCAGGGGCCTGAAGGGAACTGGGGGAGTCCCCAGTCGGCTGGGAGTCAAAATGGGGAGATGACATCTGCAGTGTCTGCCCTTCCACGCAGGAACACTCTCCCTGCTGTGGAGAACATCAGGCTCCACAGAGGTAGGCAGACTGACGAATCTTTTACAACTGTCCGGTTTCTCTCTTTCATGTTTTCAAATCCAAGTCTCAACTGATCAGATGTATTGCAGTGACTCTGCTGCTCGTCTCCATTTTTCACCCTCTTTCTCCTTCCCTTCCTCTGTCGCTCACTTAAAGCCGAGCTGTTGGGCAGAAACAAAGGACCCAGTGTAGCAGGCACTGCTCTGCTGACATACTAATGAAATTCAAGTCATACCATCTGATCCAGAATGCCTCGTTCCAGACTGATAACCGATTTAAAAAAAAAAAAAAAGATGCTCTCAGACATAATGTGTATTCTCTTCCTTTCATATAAGCTGCTTTGCCACGTCCAAGCATGTTTTATAAGTCCACCAAAGTCAAATCTTTCTGTTTGTTGTCTTTCTTCAGTTTTCCAAATAGTTTTATATCAAAAATTCACCTACTTGGATATTTTGTTATAAACAGTAACATATGGTCTCTTTCTTGTTTGAGCGTTTGAAGTAGTGGAGGGCACACTTTCGCTAAAGCGCTAACGGAGCTAATTTTCTGTGGACTTCAGCAATGTGACCGTCCATTGCTGAAGTCCAGTAACCTGTTCTGCCTCAATGCACCTGAGTGAGACGAGTGCACTATAAGGACAGGAGCAAATTGAAATGACTAGATTCAGGCATTAACAAAAATGCACTTCTGCTAATGCTCTAACAGTGGAGTTAATTTTCCAGTTAGCACTTTTGTTAACTTTAAAAATGTTTAGCACACTTAGCTTCCCCTAAATAAGTTATATTTGGATAAATTCTAAAGTGGAACATTGCTTGCTTGTTTTGTAAACTTTAAGTTGCATAATGTTCAACATGTGTTGATGTTTTGATTATTGACTGTTAACTATTCCTCAGTTAGGTAAACATTTACATTTATGTTCTTATTTTGAAGTGGCTGAAGACATAGCTGTTCCATGTCCTCTCCTTATGTTCTCCACCCCTGATGTTGTGCAGCAAATAATACTTATTCAGTACCCAGAATGCAACACTGTAAATCCACAGCCTGAAGTTCTATAATAAGCAGTATAGCCTCTACTGATGTCCAGCCTCTATTCTGACTGAAGTCCTACTGAAATATAAAAATATTTGCGGGTAAAAGCTCTGTTCCAAAGAGTCATTTCCTAAATTGCAACCATTCAGATTGGTGTGCCATAACAAATTTGAACCTTTAAAGGTTGACATACTATGTTGTGACATGTTTTGTCACTGATGCAAGTTGGGTATTAATAGGCTTGAGTTTAATGCTTTAGCATTAGCTTCTGCTAAATACCATGTTGGTATAGCGCTTTGGCGCAGTGGAACTAATGCTTGTGATTATTGCTTTAGGGTTAGCTCAACTGTAACTGAAAAAAAAATTATTTCAGTTACAGGCGCCAAACACTGTTTTACGGCAATGGTAAATAATGATATATGTCTATGCATCCCTCCACAGGTTCTTCCTTTGAAATCAACAACCACCATCGTTTGTTCCACTTCAACAACTCGGGCCAGTCTGTGGAGTCTGTTAATGACGGATTCAGCTCATACCTGGTGAGTTTTTCTTTTTTTTTTTCAAAAGACTAATAATTCATCTGAATACCTCCTTTTGCTTCCATTTTCTTGTGCTGGGAGACTCTGGTTTGCTAAAGTGTTTGATCAACTTAAACTTTTTTGTCCTGTTACAAACGTTACATCATGCTGTGCGAATGTTTTTCCTAAGCAAGGACTTGGAACTTTCATTAGAAAACAGAAAAACTTTAGAGTAAAATTCACATTCCAGAGCATATTCATTAGTTGAAATGGTCCTGTCAAATCCAGACTTTCCAGTTGAGAATGTTAAAGGGCTTTGCAGTCACTTCCTAGAAAATCAATTGAGCTTTTGCCTTTTGGTTAAGTGGAATGAGGAAATCTTTCAGCCTTTATGTGTACAAAGCTGGTTGACACACAAAATATCTGCAGCTCCAATTTATTTACTTTGTGTTTGTAACAAAAAGTCCAAATAAAATACATCCAATGTGGTGCTGATGTGAAAAAAGTAACATGGGTGTGTGAATACTTTTGGAAGATACTATGCATCTTTTTCTGTTATCCTCCACCAGAGGAGCCAGACCCCTTTGACGCGCTCGGACAGCGGTAACTCAGATGACAACTACGTTCCCATGAATCCCGGCTCCTCGCCACTCAGTGCTGCCCAGGCTGACAGTCCTAAGAATGTCTACATTCCCATGAGTCCTGGGCCTCATCACTTCGATTTCCCAGGGTTCTCTGCAACGTTACCTGCTCGAAAGGCGAGCAGTGCATCCTTGTGTCACAGGCCCGCTCGTCTGAGTGAAGTTACACCACCTCCCATCAACCGTAACCTTAAACCGAACAGGAAACGTATGCATTTCAGATTTAGATGTATTTTTTTCCTAGAGTCTGTGCAGCTGTTTGATTATATAAAATTTGTCTGCATTTTGTTTTCTGCAGCAAAGCCAACACCTCTTGATTTAAAGAACAATGGGATCATAGATGAGCTGCCGTATAAGAGTCCCGTCACCATGTCCTGGACGCGTCCCATGTGAGTCTAACTCACTGTTAAAACCTGTCTTTTTTCCCCCAGATCACCCAGAGTCCTATCTGTTTTTCTGTTTCAGGCATGAGATGAACTCCTCCCACCATTGTCGACCAATCTCCACGCAGAGCATCACCAGCACCGACTCTGGAGACAGCGAAGAGAATTATGTGGCTATGGTAAGTTCCAGTCGCTGGCAGGCAGAAAATGCTTGGGTTCATCGTTTCATTGCACCATGTGTGATTGAAGCTTCCCTCTGGTCCCATTAGCAGAATCCAGCATCTACCTCCCCAGCCATGAGTGGCACCAGCAGCCCAGCCCCTCGGAAGTCTGGGAACGTGGACTATTTGGCACTGGACTTCCAGCCTGGCTCACCCAGCCCACACAGAAAGGTGAGTATTGGACACGTGGACTTTTCCAATTTTTTCACATCAAAACCGCAATTTATTTTATTAGAATTTTATAAAATTGAGCAAATTAAAAGTACTTTAATATTTCCAAAATAAATGTATTATGATTTTCAAACTGTGTTGACAAGAAGGGTGTTGTTTTTAATGCCTAGATTCCGCAGGTTAGTTTCTTCCAAGATGATTTTTATTGAACTTCATCCATCTTTCCACCATGCTGATGAAAAAATAAACATAACAAATTTTGCTGCCACCACCAGAATTTACTAGTGATGTGCCGTGTTATGCACTGCAGGACAAACTATGACATTGGTTATTGAGGGGGTGTATGAAGGGGCTTCCCGAAGCACGCCCCACAGGATTATACATCCAAAACCTTTTCCAAGAAAGCAAGCTCAATTTTTATTTACAGATTAACACCATCATATTAAAAGACATGTAAAAAACACATTTTTTTTCATAAAAGTTACATACTGCTGCTTTAAGGTTTGTGGTTGTAAAATGAGAATAAGCTCCAGGAGTACTAATAATATTACGGGGCCCTGTATTTGTAGTCTAAATTCATGCCACCGTTTGTTATTTTCATACCTCTGTGTTGTCCGCCCTCCAAACAGACTGCTAATTATCACTTTCCCATTACTTCGCAGCCCTCCACATCTTCTGTGACGTCTGATGAGAAGGTGGACTACGTCCAAGTGGACAAAGAAAAGACACAGGCGCTTCAAAATACGATGCAGGAGTGGACCGATGTACGGCAGTCAGCTGAGCCTGTCAAGGGCGTCAAATCCTGACACTGACTCGTACAAAAATTGAAGAACTGAAATCCCTTGTTAAGTCTCCAGGATTATGCTCGGATCACTACCATAAATAGCAGTTGGACTTGTGTAAGACTTAAATTTCAGGGCAAAAAGCCATAATTATCCTATGCCTGTTCTCTCTGTGATAATTACTTCTGCAGTGCACTGCTGGCATGCAGGATATCAGGACATACAGGTAAAAGCAAGCTGCCAAAGCTTTAAAAACAGACTGTTAGAGTGTATAAAACTATCATATTCAACCATCACTCCGGTTCACTCGGATATATTGTATGATTAAACCTGTCCCACCAGACCTCAGCAGATATTGGTTGCATCCAGATGGCAATTTACTCTGAGCAGCAGCGCTAGCTAACTGGTCGATAACTATATTAATATACTGTGACAGTACGCATACAGGTCTCAGGAATGCCAAGAAACTCTCCTATTTGAACACACTTTCTCGCTTCCCCACCCCCCCACTTCAATCTGTCATTTGTGCTGAGTCTTGCAGTAGCAGTAAGGAGGAGATTATTTTCACTGCAGGCAATCATTTCAGCTTAGCAGTGCATGTCTGGCAAGAGGAAAGGGGAGACAGAAATATAGCCATCCAAATATGCAAAAGGCCTGTGTCAAGATTACCTAATGATAACTGCACATGACGGTTGGCTCAGTTTCAATTAGGTGAGAATCCAAGCCAGATTTAGAAGCTGTCAGGCTCAGGATGGCAGTCCAATTATTTCCATGTTGCTATCAAGTTATTACTGTTCAGATAGACAAAACTAATGACAGGAAAAAAAAAAAAAAAACTTGTAGGGTTTTGAAGGGCATTTATCAGTGTTGTTGCAGCTTTTTCAGTGAGTTAAGACGTTTAGCTTCCTTTAGATTTATGTCCATGACTGAAATCAAGAATTTGTATAAAAGAACGGAACAAAACAAAATTAAACAAAAGCCAAAACTCATCCAAGAAAGTGACATTGTTCAATAAAATAGCAAATTATCTAGTTCATAAAGCCACTATTCATATAGAAACATATTCGAGAAATGTTTCGCTAGAGCAGTATGGAGGAGATCTACAAAAAAAAGGGCTCTCTATAGAAAGATTTCAAAAGTCAAAACTTGTGACGCTGGATTTAGATTGATATTACAATTTCTGCTTCTGATTAACTAGTTACTCTGATGTGCTCAACCATGTGTTGGCACATTTAAAAAATCTGTGTTCATGAAGGCTCCACTGCACCAAAGTGAGTTAGCTCGATGTTAAGATAGTGATAGAGAATCAGACTGTCGCTCTAATCAAATACCGTCGCCTTCATTTTTCTCAGAGGGATAAATGGAGTCACAACTGAAGCTAGTTATTTCAGGTAAACACACAGGTGATTGTAAAATATTTAGCCCAGTCTGTGGAAATCAGAAGATGCCTTGCACTGACAGAAAACACATAAAAAGTAAAAACTACTGTAAAAGAAACCACTATATTGCCTGAAGAACTTTAAGATCACAAACGACAGCTATAGTTGCCTTGGTGGTCTGGCTGTTAACTACCTGCTCAAGCCTGTTTTTTGTGGCCATGGCATGAATTGTGATATGTCTTTTTCCCTAAAGTTTGGGTCGTTCAAGCAAAAGGGCTCCCTTTGACGTTTTTTCTTGCTCACCATTAGGCAGCCACACGTCCGTGCGTTGTTAGTCAAGAAAACAGTCTGCAGCATATATACAATTCTCCCTCAGTCACTCCTGAAATATCATCACCCATATATGGTACTCACTTCATGTTTCCAAGTGGCTACAAAGACAAAAAATGCCATACTTCCCATTTTTAGAGGTTTTATGGCTCTAAAATATATTTTCCCTTTAAAGTATTTTCACATGCAGCTCCATGCAACTGTGCAATGACCAAGAAACCTTACAAAGTGGGAGTAAAAATAACGCCAGAGGTGCTCCATTACATAAGTTATAGATAAATAAGTCAGGCATTCACAGCATTGCCATCAAGCCTAACATTTCCCACACTACATCTCTGAACATTAATTATATGTAAATTATTAACATACTGGCATATGTAAGTGCATCTTGTTGACTGTTTGAAATTTGTTGCACTTGTCTGGTACAAAAAAGTGTGCTACATTAACACAGGAACTCATCAGTAATGATATTTGTATAAAATTAAGAAGTTTATTTGGGATACTTCTGTGATTCTCTAATTTGCCTTATATTTTCATTTTATTTTAGAATGTAGCTTCTGCTGTGGAGGAGTTTGATTATTGATTATTTTGTCCAAACCAGGACCACATTGTATTCAGAACAACTGAGTTATCAGTCTCTAACTGAAGTGAAGTCCAGTATTTCATTGTGGGCTGGAACCACTTATTAAGAAAACCAAGGCCATGCAGTGCTGGATGGTGTTATCAATTAATATTTACTGCTTGTGTTTTTCTACACTTTTTACTTTTTTTTTCAGAATCTTTTTAATCATTTTTATTATTATTGATTCACCTAACCAAGTGTTATATACAAACGGAGGCTAAATTTAGCAAACATGTGTTGTAGATTGTATTTAATTCAGCTTTGAATTCCAAAATAGGCTTTTCAAGAACCACTCATAAATTTGGGATGGCTAGTAAGGCTGATAACATTCCCAGATGAACTGTGATTTACAAAGAGGGGAGAAAAGATTGAAGAAGAAGAGCTTGTCTACCTGTCAGTCTCTGAAGTGAAGTGGAGGTGTAATTTATTATCTGGAGATACTCGCTGCGAGCTGGGGTGCTGTGTACGCATTGTGGTAGATTGAGCTGAGTTATGTTCAGTGACAGCCTGGCAGTTCGAGACTGAAAACAATGCTCAGATCTACTGTCAGACCGATGACGTACTGTACTGATAATGATCTTTTTTTTTTTTTTTTCTTAAAGAAAACCACTGTTATTGCTACTACTGTAAACCATTTGCAGACTGCTTGTGTGTTAACTTATTAATTTATTGTGTGTTTTGCAGTTGATAATTGTGAAAAAAAGAAAAACAAGTGAGGAAGAATTCTCTACTAACATTAATGTATATCTTCACTTTTTTTTCCTAAAGAGTTTGAAAAGTTATGCAAGTGTGATTGCAACGTGGTACAGTTAATTTGGTATACACAAGTATACCTTGTCATTCCAATATTATGGTAGACTTAAACTGTGGAAGTAGAATAAATCAAGGAGTTAAACTCTGGTTGTACCATTTTTTTGGCTGTCATGATACTATCAATAAACTCACATTTTTTTGGACAGAACTGATATAATTTTCTTCCAAGAATACCAACTGCTGAAAGAGGTGTATCCACATGCATGTTCCAATGTGCAGATCGGTTTTACATACGTTTTAAAACAGCCACTATGTTGTGACAATATAGTATGAGAAGAAATTATTGGTAAAGACATTGAGCTTCACAAAAAAAAAAAAAAAAAATCAAACTCGATAAATCTCAATTTACTTGATAAATCAAGGTGCATGAGTGAACTCCCACCTTCCTGGACCCGTTTAGAGCTGATCCAATGTTCCATGACCAGGACAAAACCCACACTGCTCCTGCTGAATCCAAGTTTGACTACTGTAATGTTGTTTAGAAAAGAAAAATAATTAAAAAACTCTATTAAAATTTACGTTTTGAATCAAAGTCTCACTGAAGTTTTCTGAAACGTCTATCTTTTAATTTGAGCACATTATTTCATTGAGTAAAAATTTAAAAATAAAAACATCAAGAACAAAAAATAGTTTCAGTCACCAGATGCACAATTATTACCATCAATAACACAGTATTATTCTGTTTTTTCAGGTGTTTTTAGGATATATATCTGAGGACTAAAAGACATGTAAAAAACAAATCCCCTTTAAATTGCTTCATGCTTCTTTTTGTTGTTTAAATGCTGGATTTCAGACACGCGACCCGGATGACGCGCGAAATTCGAAAGGTAAACAGGAAGTGGATTTCTCCGGTTCAAACAGAGCAAAATGGATTACAACGAGTACCCTAGTGCCCTAAATAGGTTGGAACAAAGGAGTTACCTCGATAAAATACTCGTATATTTAGGATATTATCCATATGATCTCGATTAAAAAAAAGACTTTTCATAAAGGATTTAATCGGGTTGGAGACTAACCGCCATAACCAAATCTGGTGCTACAGACCTCATACTATCCAACGGGCCAGAAGGAAGTTTTCAAAAGTCTGGAGCGTATTATAAATTATTTAGTTTCAGGTTGGGTCAACCATTTAGGATAAAAAGAAGCTGTCGACTGGTTTTTGCCCCGGTGAGTACTGAGTTGTGCTATTTTAAGTATGATAACGATGCTATTGCTAACAACAAGCTAACCCATGTTATCTCTATGCAATTGGATATCCTGGTAAATAATTTATTTAGCTTCTGTAAACCCAAAGTCATGTTGGAGTTGTATGTTAATGTTGAGTCAATGTAGGTCAACCATTCTCTGCCAACTGTATGGGTGAGGAGATTATATTTAATTTATTTATTTATTAGTTTGCTAATATTCTAACAATATCAGCCCTCTGGGGACTACTAAGCTAGGATGTAAAAATAATATATCTTCCCTTGCACATAAATGATTTTCTTTCTAAGTAACTCGCCAATAAAACATCTAAAATTTCAATTTAAATGATGCATTGCTTACCTGTTTTTTTATTTTAATAAACTCCCTTGTGACAAACTACTTAATAATGTTTATCTTTCTCACTATACTATTACAATTGTTGGAACAGCCATGCAGCACAGACCAGGTATTTTGAAGCTGGATCAACAGAAGTAAACGGCCTGCATTTACTTCCTGTCCCCCATCTGCATTGGGTCGGTGCTACTCATCTGAAAGCCAGCATCCATTTTTTTTTTTTTGTCACAAGACTTTTATTTAAGATGCACCAGGTGTTCTCAACCAACCTTTACTGTTCGTTTCACTAAACCACAACTTCAGTCTGATCAAGGGCAATAGCAGTCAAAAACCCAGTAATTAAAGTAAACAACTGGCTTTTTTTGAGACTCTCTCTGAAGATGTCTTTCTTGCTCCAATTTTCTAACATTTACCTTTGGGAATTCTTTTTTTTTTTTTTTTTTTTTTAACTTTCTTTACTGCCCGGCTTCCCTTGATTGGTGACAAGATACCATAGCAAGGTGCCTCGCCTAATAGTTAAAATAAATGGAACTTCCATGTTATGTCATATTCTTAAACCAATAAAAGAAAAAAATCTTGTAAACCTTTTAAGTGTTCATATATTTGCAATCAGATTATTAAGTAGATTCCATCCATTCAGTTCCTTCTGTTACCTTGTATTCAGTTGCAGGTGTGACAGATGAAGGAGGAAAATTCAGGCATTCCTCCAAAATATAAATAATGCATATATTTACCCTCTCCTTTTTCATGCTGATAGTAAACAAATTGTTAATGGGGTGAAGTGTAGAATGGTATTTAATTATCAAAGACCACACCTTTTAGATTTTATTTGTGTCCTTTTATGCGCTGCTTTGTGTGGATCAATCAAAAGAAAGAAAGAGAAAAAAACTGAGTTAACAGCAAAAACCTAAGGCGATTTCGCATGGAGCTGAACTTTTTCATCAGCTACTGAATTAGTTATGTTTGAGGAACATTAATGAGATTAATTCCCCTCTCTGACATGGTGCGTTCCTTAAAGGATAATTCTCCAATCCTCCACTAGAGTGCATTCACACCCGGCTTCATCCAGAAGAGTGCATCATGTCAGAAGAGGAATGTTCATACAATGAGGGTCTGTGTATAGCAGCTCTGGTATTGCCTCGGTCTACCACACGGACAAATGATTGTCAATGGACTATTGAGGCGAATCTCAATCGGTTCCTCTAACGGCTCCACGCGTTTCGACCTCCTGTTTCTCCCCCGAACCCCCTTTTTGCTTTGCGATCAAATTTCTCTCCGGATGGAGATGGACAAACAAAGAGAGAGAGGACTAGTTCCCAAACAACAATGCCGTGAGTCTTGAAGTTTTGTGGATTCGGTGTCTTTCTGTGCTTCTCTCGCTCTGGGAACGAACCGCTTCACTCCCCGTATTCTCGGCTCCTCTGACGGTCGCACTCTTTCGGCTATGCATCGGGTGTAACACACACACACTGGGGCTGAAAATGTAGCACGGACGGTGGGAGTGAAGTTGTGCGTGCCATGGTTTTGAATCATCGGAGGGATTCGCGTTTTAATGCAGCCTGTTTGTGAGCAGAGGTCGCGTCGTTAAGGAAGAGAGGATTCATTCCAGTTGTGACCCCCACGACTCCTCATGTTTGGAGATCATTTCACCCCGAAAGAGTAGGATGCTGTAACTTTGGGACTTTTTTTCTTTGTTCTTTAGGACAATAGTTTGGGAATTGTCTTACTTAAATGTTTGGCGTTACTGTCAATTTAAACTAATAATATCCCAAAAAAAAAAAAAAAAAAAAAAAAAACAAGTAGGCCAGCATTTCAGTTTTTCCATGTGGAATCCTAGTTAAATCCTTTACACGTTGTTTTCTCGCTCTGGCTGAGAGGATCTCAGCTTTTCTAAACTTGTGAGGGACCAGCGGGCATGGGAGAGGCGACTCCCGCTCAGTCTGCTGCTGGTGTTGCTGCAGGGACCTTCGTGCCCATGCTGGGTGTCGGGTTGGGCGCCATGCCCGGCGGGGTGGTCGGCAACGGACCGATGGTGGCCACCTCCAGAGGAGGCTCCGCGGACCCTCAGCTGCACAACGCCATCGTGGAGCGTCTGCGCGCCCGCATCGAGCAGTTCAGGAGGCACCACTCCACCTGCGAGAACCGCTACCAGAGGGGTCAGGCGGAGAGCTCCGACCGGGAGCACGAAAACACGCTGCACCTGCTTAACATCGTCCAACAGGGGCCCGGGAACCGAAAAAGCAAAGGGAGCCGGGTTTCGAACCAGCAACCCCCAGACTACAGCAGGGCCAATGGGGAGCAGAAGGCATCGGAGGGCGAGCAGAAGATTTCCACCCGCATAGCGGTAAGTTGGGCTCATCAGTCGACATGAATCATAAATATTGTTCTGATTAACTCACTGAGTGTTTGAATGGGCCCTGAGCCAGCCCCTTCCTCTGGGCCCCATCGACCTTAAGACTTCTATTAAGTTAAAAATGAGGTTTAAAGACACAAAATAGGGTGATTTTTCTTCTTTTTTTTAAATTCCACAAATGTGAAATTGTTATAAAGAAATTCTGTGCAGTGTAGATTAGTCCAGAAATGTTGAAAAAAGAGGGGGGAAATGGATACATTTCAAAAAAGTGCACAGCTACCCCCAAGACTGTGCTTCCCAGGGTAATGAGTCATATTTCCCATATTATAAATTCCACTAGACTTACCTTCAGTTGGTAGTTTTGTTTGGGGTGACCAGATGGGGGCTGCTCACTCGAGGGCTAAACGATTAATCAGAGTTATCACACTATTGAAATAATACTCAGCTAATTTAGTTATCGGTTAATTGTTAACTAGAGTGTACAGACTCACAAAAGTATTATTTGCTGAAGAATCACACTCAAAGCCATAATTAATCAAAAATTGCACAAAAGTAGAAAAGCTTTGCATTTAAGATATAAAAAAAGTTTTTCTGTGAATATGTTCTATCCAGAACTCCTCAGTTTTAGCATCACCTGGTTGACATTATGTAAAAGAAATATCCTATTAATCACATTTTTCTATCAAATTATTAATCAGTCGATGCAAAAATAGTCAACACATCAATCCTCCTGATAGTGATGGTAAATGGAGGAAGGTTTGACACTGCAAGTGATCAAGCATTCACTAAAGGAATTTAATTTTACACAATAATATGTTTGCTTTTTTATTTAAAACGTAATTGTTTATTTAAATATGTGTATTTGCTTTCTTTTTAAGTATTTCTAATATAGTATAAAAACTGAAGTGCTAAATAAGAACTCTGCAGAATGAGCCATGCTTTTTTTAACTGATGAATTGATTAATCATCAAAATAATCAATCAAATAATTGAGATCTAAAATAATCATTAGTTGTGGCCCTAAACTCCAAGTCATTGGCTAAGCTGTGGCTTAGGGCTCCAATAGGCTATCAGAGCTCACAAGAATGCTTTACTTCTCAAAGATCTCAAAGCTTCACATTTGTAAAGTATTTCTCAAATTTCGTCGCTTGGACAGAATCGGCCTCTAAGTCTGTTTAAATATATATTCTAATAAAAATATATACGTTTAAAAGAACAATATAAACGTTTGGGCATTCTTAGTTGAAGGAATTTTAGCTCCACTTCACCCATAAGAACAAAGTCGTTGCTGAAATGTATCCACAGGCAAGGTTCCCAATATTGCTGGTAAAAATGTTGTTGAAGCTGGTTTGCAACATAACCTACAATGAAATAGTTTTGGGGTCACTAGGGCGTGGAGACGTTTAGAGTTTCCTCCAGAGTGTCAACGTCTTCATGCACTTTTGAGCCAAACTGTGGGATGCAGGTGTGTGTTGCACTTAACCTGGTTATTACAAAACCTATCCAGTTTTGTGGTGCAGGAAGCTCAGTTTCTTTGTCTCAAAAAGGCAGCAGATTTCAAATGATCAGTTTTCAAATAGCCATTGCCTGAATTATATCTACTGCATGATGTATATTTTTCCATAATGACAGACCTAAAGAATATACAATAAATAGACAAAATTTCTATGTTCTCAGACTTTGGTTGGACTACCATGCTGTACAGCAACTCTTGAGAGAGCAGTTGGTGAAATGTGAGATTTATTGTGTTGTTTTCTTTCATCTGGCATTTGGGAGTTCAGCAATGAGACTGAATTATTTCCCAAGCAACATTTCAATATAGAGTTGAAGGAGTGAGAGTTTGCAGATGTTCGCTTTCTGAATGTGCTCGAGATACCGGAGAGAAAATCAAACAATGAAACATTTTTTTGCAGTAAAACCCATAAAAGCGCACTTAGGAAGGTTCTGTAGTTTTCTTTATTATTTTCTATCTGAGGAATGAAGCAAGAGATGTTATCTCCTTTGTATCCCACAGCTGTATTGACTTGAGACCTTATATTTATGATTGGATGTTACATGCGCGCTTTTTGAGTTGCTAAGTTAAATTCAGACATGACGGGAGGTAAGACAGCAGCATCATGGATTATACTGACGGTCTAAAAGAGGTCAGGGAACATCATTATCATGCACCGTTTCATTTTTACTGATGTTGACTTGGGACTAGTGTGTTCTATATAAAACTGATGAGTGCAGCAAGATGTGCAGAGGAAATGAAGTCCTGGCGTACATGTTCATATAAAGCCTGAGGTTAATTTTTTCTTCTTTTTTTTTTCCCCCAGCTTGTGATGATTTGGTGAAGCAGAACAGCAGTCGTAGCAGAAATCTCACATTAAGTGCTCTGCCTTTATCCATCACTGATGGAGCCAGTTAATTCTTAAATTGATCAAAAATAAGTAAATCCTCAGGGTGAGAAACTACAACGCTTTGCAAAAGCATTCATCTCCGTTGTTCTTTTACGCATTATGTCATTTTGCAACTCAGTGTTTTATTGACGCAGTATGGTATAACTGTAAAGTGGAAGGAAAATAATAATATGTTTTATTATTAATTTGAAAACATTATGCGATATATGTTTTGAAACATATTTCCCAGAGACTTGTTGGAAATTATATCTCATGTAAGATTAGATAAGCAGAATTAGGTTCTTAAACAATATCATTGTTCAATTCAAAATGGACTGAATCTGGCACAAGTGCAACATAACCAAAACATGACGGTCCAGCTAAACTGACAGGTCGGGCAACATGAAGAGCTAAACTGAACCGGCCTTGGTAACTCTGGAGGAGCTGCAGATGTCCACTGCTCAGGCAAGAGAGTCTCTGATGGAACTGTTAGTAATTTTCTACAAATCTGTTCTTGTATTTTCAAAGAATCGGAACTTTTTAGAATCTTAGAATTTGTCCAGTTCTGTTATGAGGATTTGATCTTGGTAAGATGAAGGTTGTTCACAAACTCCTCATTATTTATGATGATGTAAACAAGGCGTCATGAAACATGCTGATGCCGTGCCGCAGTTATTGAAATTTTGCATAGTTCAATAATCACGACACTTTTCTGAATCCAGTCTACACTGCATGATTGGTGCATTTCTTTAATTTCCTGCTTTAAGCATTTGTTTTTTTTATGTCTTACTTTCATGTATCAATAAATCACAGTCTCTGGAAAACAGTGTCAAACTTAGCAACATGGCCAACCAGACCTCCTCACTGAGTTTCTATCAAGTCTTCACTCAGAGTTGCTCTTAAGACCTGACTGAATCACTGCTAAATTGGGATTCTTTGGCAGGAATATTTAAGTTCTCTCTGAGAGCATTCTCAGAACTTTGAGAATATGGCTGTTGGTCTTTATGGAGGAGTGGCAAATAGGAAGCCATTGTTGGGAAAAAGAGCAAAAAGGAATCCCATTTGGAGACTGAAAATCCATGTAGAAAACATGGAAAAGATATGGGAGAAGATGTAATCAGGAAGTCTTTGCACATTTGCACATGTGACCAATGTGCAAAAGCAAAAGGTGGTTCAAAAATAACTACATGTTCATGGTAGAAGGATCCTGGGTGGAGCTTTTACTTTTTCATCAGGGAATGGGACTGATGTTTAAATTATGGTGGTAAAGTGCCAAACTGCAAACAAATTTCTATTGTGGGTTTACTTTAGGAAAGGAAAGTGTAGTTTAATGTTTATGTCTCTTTTCTAATTACCTCTGTGTAAATTGAAAATAGCTTTTTTCATATTTACCTGAGTTAATGCGACAAGTAACTTTTATAAAAATGTTACAAAAAACTAATTAAGCTCCTCTCGCTCCAGATGGCCGTGTATTCTGCCATCTGCAGAAATACATTGCTCCCTGTCAAAAACAACCAGAGTCAAGAGGAGGATCTTGGCGATGTCAGTCAAGCTTGTGTATGCGCTGCTCCCTCTCTCCCCCTTGCTCTTTTCTGCGCTACACACACCATCGGTGGCCGCCAATGATGGTGGACAAACAGCTTTCCCCCACCATTATCAGAGCTAATCTTGAGCTTACTGTGTTGGGCTTTAATGATGTAGGTTATGATAGCACACGCTTCTCAGTTGTGAACAAAGACATCAATAAAGGGCACATCTCTTTTATTGACTGTTCACATTGTAATTTGCAACGGAACGGAAAATCAAGTGAGGGGCAAAACGAAACAATAGATTACGACTAGTTTGTTTTGCAGAGTGAGCAGCACTTAACAGCACTGAGGCCAGATTAACAGAAGATATGTCTTGTAGATAATTTTAGATATATTGGAAAGAAGAGATGAGAGCTTACTTATTGGCTTAGGGAAAAAAAAAAAAAGATTTCCCTTAATGCCTGCATGAACTCACCAAACGCTTTGGGATAGGTCATATTTTAGATTGCTGTTTTTTTTTTCTTTTCTTTTTTTTCTAGCACTGGTTTCTCATTCTTTCCACTCATACCTGTATCAGTGGATGCACCGAACACAGAAATAGGTCACTCAGTAGAGCTTACGAAACGTGAGCCCCTGTATTACATCTTACAGACATTTGTTTTCATCAGATGGGGATCCAGCATTATCTTACGCTGTCTGTCAACGAGAGCGATAGTGGGTATGGAAACTAAGAGCTGAATGATATAGCCGCGCTGGCGTGCAATGCATTGTCATAACCTATTATAGTGTGCTTAACAAATGGCTCTCTAAGCACCTTGAAATATTTGCTGACCATGAAACTGTTTGAACCACAAGGCCCTCATATAAATGTTTAGAGCCACTGAATACATTTCCTGCACATGTTTACTTAAAGTCAAACAGGCCTTGAAAAAGCAGTAGACGAGGGATGCCTGGTGATTAACAGTCCTGCGTGCAATGGGAGGATTTTGTTATTACTCGGTGAAAGATATGGGAATGATGGTAACAGGACTGAATGGACTAGAGGTGTTCTTGTCTTTCAGTTTAAAACAACATAAAGTTCT